CCCCCCCCCCCCCCCCCCACCTGCCACCTTCTGCTTATTCACATCCCTCCACCCCCGAAAAAGCTCAGCCAGGCAGACAGCATTAAAAAGCTCACTGTGAAGGCACAGTCACAGCGGGAAAATGCTCCCTAGACCTGAGCCAGGCACACAGCAAAAAGCAGCCAGGGCAGAGCTGGTAGGGAACCAAAGGGAACCAAAAGTGGGTTGGAGTTAGCAGCAGCTGCCTGCGATTATTATCAGTAGTACTGTCATGCTTGGGGGCTCTAATTATACCAAGAATCCATTGTGCTTGGAGCTGCACAACTACAGAACAAAGGAAGGTGCCTGCCCCCAAAAGCTTACAGTCACTACCATTATATTTTTGAAATATAACACCCAATATTACAGGAAGTCCCCAAGGTAGGAACGGGTTGTGTTCCAAAAGTTAGTTTGTAAGCCAGCTGTGTGGTAAGTCAGTTGTTTGGAATTTGGAATACATTTTCCCATAGAAACAATGCTATAAATGCTATTTTCCCATAGAAACAATGCTATAAATGCTAGTTAGGTTCCCAGACGAGCCCACAAAAGGCTATTTAGCCCAGACTGTAGCTGAAATACTGTATATTTGCAATGAAAAATAGTAGAAATAGGGGTTTTTTTAATTTAATGCTGGTTTGATTAGTGGAGAAAGATGGAGATTCGGAAGAGGGCTTCTGAGCATCACACACACCAACAGCTCCTGCAGTCAGCCCAATCACCCAGCCACCACCCCTCCAATGGGCTGCACCCAGCCCCTGCTCACCAGGAGGTGGTGAGGAATGCAAGTGTGGGCCAGAGGACTCTGGAGGAGCAGGGACAGCTATGCAGGCTGGAGAGAAGCAGCAGTTTTCCTCTTTAAAATGATGCTTCTCCAGCCACTGGATGCACAACCAGCCACTGCTCCTCTGGAGTCCTCTGGCCAGCGCTTGTGCTGCTCACCCAGCCTGTGCCGCTTGCCTGCACCCTGGAAGCCTCCAGTGCATTTTGTGTGTATGGGGGGATATTCGTAAGTCAGATGATTGCAACTCAGAGAGTCCTGTACCCTGAGTGTCTTACCTGTCTGCCTGAGAAGACTGCATTTTTCTGTGCTCTGTCACCAGAGGTAGAGCTGGCCAAATTACTCTCTTTTTTTTTTATGTAGTTTTTCCTTAGAAAATGCTGTTTAGTCAAAGTTGAAATGTTTTGCAGAACTGTAGTAGTTTCAACAGGAAAAAGTCCTAACTGAATTGTTACAACTTTCTCGTTCCAGTTTGGTTGGATTTTTACACTGTGTAATAATTTATAACAGTTTGATGTTATTGGCATGAAACATTTCAACCTTATCAAAGAACCAAAAGAAATTTTGGAATTTTTGTTCCACCGGAAAGATCTGAATTTCTACTCTTCGGTTAGGAATGTGAACGACTAGTCGACACACTAGTCGACTAGTTTCTTCCTCCTCCCCTGCTGCCTCTATCAGAACGATGCAGGAAGGGTGGGGAAGAAGAGCAGGGGGTGCTTCAATGTTGCAGTGCTGTGTGGAGCGTGGGGTCAGACCTTGGGCTCAACATGGTACTGCCTCTTGGAAACACCACGTTCAGCCCAGGACCAGCTGGGGAGTCCCCAGCTGACTCCGGGCTCCATACGGGGGCTAGCAGGGGACGGCTTGAGTCCCTGCTGGCCCCATGCTCCCCGCAACACTTTCGCCTTTGAAGTGTAGCAACAGCCATGGAGCTGTTACTACACTGCAAAGGTGGAAGAGCTCTTATTGACTAATCGAATAGTGGATGCAAATTGCATCCACTATTCAATTAGCCAATTAAACTAAATTTAACATCCTTACTTTTGGTTCTGATTCAGAATGGAAAGAGTCAAACATGTCAGAACTTTCCAAGCAATGGGATTTCTGGTTTGTGAGCTAGCTATAGCCATGGTCAGTGGAAATGCTTGAGTGGGGTCTGTGTAGTTTGAAGGGGAGGAAGCAGCTGCCAATGCATTGTCTTACAGAACCTCTGAACTAGGGATGTAAAAACTCATGTAATAAGGTAACCATGTAATTGCTTAAAGTCCTAATGGTCACATGCGGCAGGATCTGCAGTATCAAGCTTAATTAAGCTTTGTACTGCAGAAGCTGAGCTAGCAGGGGCTGCTGGTCCCGCTCCTGGGGAGCCAGCATGTAACCTGTGGCAGGGGGACAGGACAGGCCTGCCTACAGCGGGCCACATGGGAGCTGCTCTACTGATTAACCAGAACCGGTAAGCATTACCTGTTTAGGTTGTTGCTTACTGGTTAACCGGTTAACCTTTCACATCCTTGCTTTGAACATGGGGATTCACCTCTTGCCCCCTGCATTTGCAATAGCCAGTGGCTGTTGCCTTCCACAGCATGCTGCAAAGTGCACCTCTTTCTCTAGGGCTATGGGGTGCATTGACAGGTGCTGTTGGTTGGGTGCTTTTGTGCGGCTTAACAGGTTTAAGTTTTGCTTGTGCTGCATTGGTGGCAAAGGCAGTTAGGTGCCCTGGTTAGGTGCTCTCTTTTCCGCATGTCCTGTATAACCCTAAATAAGTTATTTAGCTAGTTTGAGAAGTTTGGCAGCTCCTAGCAAGCTGGTTTCCCTTGCCAACAAGTGCAAGTGTGTTCTGTACTGAACGTAGGTGTTGCTGTGCTCAGTCTCAGAGCAGGCCCCAAGATTGAGTTCAGCCTTGGCTATCTCGCTCCCTGAGCTGTGCACCTCCTATTAACTGCACTTGGGCTTTGAGGGTTGAGTCAGTTGCACGGTGCTCAGCAGCCTTCAAGTCTCTCCTCCCAGCTGGAGGACTACCTGTAGTGTATGTCCTAGAAAGTCTGTGATGGGGCGATTGCACTGCACTGGCACGTAAGGAGTTAAAACAGCTCAGGGAGAGGGCTGAGGGTGAGAGCCAATCAGGGCCCAGCTGGCCCCTATAAGAAGGGCTCCTGGATAGGAAGAGCTCACACTCACTCCAGCTCTGTAGGGAGAGGGACCTAGCTGCCAGCTAGCTGGGATACCTTGGACAGAGCAGTGCTGGGAGAGAGGCAGGGAGAACCAGCAGACCTCAGATCTGACTAGACCCCAGGGTGAGACCCAGTGACAGGAGCCTAGGGAGGTAGTAGGGTTGCAGAGAAGCAGCCAGGATAGGAAAAGGCAGCAGGCCTGATTAATTGGCCAGTTCAGACAGCAGTTTGTCCGTGAGTGAAGGGGCTAGATGACACGTGGCAGGGGGTCACTGAGGCGAGTGGTGGCTGAGGGGTGACGGGGTTCCCTGGGAGGGGAGGACTCCAGAATGTGGACCGTGCCAAGAGGCAGTACCCCGAGGGAAGGGCCCAGCAGTCTGGGAGGGATGCAGAGCCTGACAGGAGTGGTGGACAGACCAAAACCAGTTAGCAGTGGGTGAAACACCCCCAGGAGAGAGTGCTCTGAGGCTGGACTAAGCAAATTCCTGGACTGACCAGCAGAAGGTGCTGTGGCTGTGAGCCTGACCCCATTACAAAGGCATTAGCAGTTCAGGCAAGAAATATGGTGGGCATCATAAGGAGGCATTAAAGTTCAGTAGGATTATTCACTCTCCATTAAGTGGTCTGATAGGACCTTCACTTTAACCCACTAATATGCAAAGATTCCTAAAGCCTCATACATCCCTGAGCTTGCAATACATAGCTTTATAATAGGGCTTGAAATTCAAGGTAGTCA